GTGTGTTTGCGCGTTTGTGCGTTTGTTGGTGGTCGAGGAAAGTTGGCGCTGTCTTTTTTCTTTAATTGGTGCAAGAACAAGACCCTCTGGGTACTCCATGCACAGCCTGTCACTCCATTTGTGTGTAGGTATTGGCGTAGTTAGTTCGGCTTGTCTCTGTTAAAACGTGCAAGCAATTGTCGAAAATCTATGCCTATGCATGTACATGCAGGGAGTGATTACACTTTACACCTGCAGTTACCTCTTGCTTCATTATTTATTGCCTTATTGAACTGGGATTTTACTGATTTTCATTAAAAAAGATGTTTTATTTTAATGTGTTGCTCCTGTTCAGATATTAAGCAATGACTTGAATAAATCCTGGGCTTTATTGGTCTTTAGTTTGATTATACATTTTCTAACCAGGGGACTAAAAGAGGTAAGCCAATAAAATACTACAATAAGCTACAGCTGCAATCTTTTTTGGCTAATGCACAGCTTAAAAATGCAGTTTATGAAGATTCTTTTCAAGTACATAATATATTTTGTCAATGCAAAACATCATTCTGTGTTGAAGACCCTTCCAGCAATGGTTCTAGTTTAGAGATAACCAACCTTCTTGTCAGATTGTATCATCTCTTTAATGCAATGGCGGATCTCTTAGTAACCATGACAGTCTGATGTTGGCAGCTGGAGTGGGGATGTCAAAAATGATGAGCAAGAAAGTTAAGCGTGGCAACAGACAGTTGGTCCATGACATGACTCAACAAAAACTGTAACTAACCGATTCATCTGCTTACCATCCTTGTCTCTATCGGCAGCATATTTATATATTACATATTTCATTCACTATTTATTAACACTAAAAGAGACAGGATGGTGCACTAAGGTAAAAAAAAACACTGTAGTGAGTCAGCCATTTTGTAGTAATGTATCAATTTATTTAACCATTTTTTTTATCCACTATATAGTGCTCTATAGATTTGTGATGTGGTACAATTAAAGTAGTGTAAAGACAATAAATGCTCTATTGATGAAAATAGACTACATTTCACTGTGGCCTTGGTCAAAACAGAAAGCTAATCAAGGCTAATGCTAACATTCATCCATCCATTCATTATCTTTACCCGCTTCTTCCTTTTCGGATTACAGGGGTCACTGGTGCCCATGTCCAACCATCACTGTGCGAGAGGCTGGGGACACCATGGACAGATCTCCAGTCCATCACAGGGACACATAGAGACAAACGAGACAAACAACCATCCGCTCTCTCACTTGCACCTTGAGGCAATTTAGAGTTACCAATCAGATTAAGAGACTTGTTAAAAATGCCTGGAATTTTTTTGCCATCTCTGAAATGAAGTCCCTCTGTCTGAGCTGTCAGATGTTATTTTGTGTTCTGATGCTATTTTTTACATGTTTAAGTCCAAATTTAAAACACATATTGTAATTCACAATGTAAAGTAAGACACAGGCAGCATCATCAGGCCAGGCCTCTGTGGTCTACACTCATCTGCTGGGCCAGTGGTCACTTTTTCTGGGATGAAGATGCTTATATCCTTGATCGAGAGAAACGTTGATTTGAGGGAGGAGTGAAGGAAGCCATCTTTGTGAAAAGAACTCATCCATCATTAAACAGGGGCAGAGGCCTCCCTGTTCAACTGTCTCTTACAATGCTGTTATTGCTAGTTTCACTCAGTCCTCTGTGAATAGCAAGCGGCTATAAGGGCACTAACAATTGGTCGTTAGGCTGATGGTCCTGCTTTATCATGTGAACAAGTTTTGGATGTCACCAGCAAACTGGTTGATCCACTATGAGAAGGTGCTGCTTATAAGACTGAGTTTATTACAACTCCTCAAACTGATGAAGTAATTTGGATAAAATATTAAACATTTCAACAAGAATCTGTTCGGAGAACCTGGCTGTACTTTGATAGATATTTTCTATCTGGATTATTGAGCATGCATCAGGATAAAGCAAGACACATTTTTACTTTAAGGCTGTGCAAACCGACTATCTTTATTTGCACATGAACAACAAAACAAATATGTACTGACATGTTTTGTAAGTGATAATTCATAATTTGTATATACTTAAGGCTGTGCTCTGCTAACAGCTGCAGTCCATGCTTGTATAAACACAACAAAAACATGTAACAGATACATTATATTTAAATAAATGCTATGTCAGTGTTACATAGACAATGGTAATTACATTTTCTTAGCCAAAGCCAGTAAAATTATACTGTCCATCACCTCAGCTTCAGGTGCGTATTTCATATGCAGTTTATTATTGTAACACCTCAGTAATACAAGGCATTGCATTAAAATACTTGTCTATTGCAAAAACAGCTCTCTTCCTTTCCTCCCTATAGTCCAGTATATGTGATCATGATGTAGTGATTGGACACTTGTGGACAATTCAAAGAACAGTTATACAGTGTATAGTTTATTTCTGACTGAATCCGAGCTAACAGATGGCCTGAGCAAACCTAAAACTACTGCTGTCCTAAAAAAAATATCCAGTTTCAAAATGTGTCTTTGTGGTTCGATCAAATGCCATTTTACAAAACTTTGCATTTGTGGCCGTTTCCCAACACATGGTGAATTGAATTCTGTTTGCAGCAGCAGCTAGCAGTAGCCCCTCTGATGCAGTCTGTGCTTCAGAAGTTACATTGTTCCACATCACTGTGAGGAATGATTTTATGTAAAAAGAAAACTGACAAATTCACATTTTAGTTTTGACCATGACCTCTAAATTACCTCTTCTCTGTGTTTTGACATTCAGCCTACAGGCCTCTTCCAGTAACAACTACAGCAGTGCTGCTCGGCTGGCTGTATGCCTAGCTTACAGAAAGAAGAACCAATAATTGGCAGGAAAGGGGCACTGGACCAAAAACTGCCTGTTTTTTAGGTTTTTTGTTTTCCCTTAGGTGTTTGATTGCTTTCCAGACACCATAACTTTATACGTAGTACAGTAAAGCATGATACGAGTTTATTTACTGTTTTAACCTTTTCTATACAAAAAATAATTCAGGCTACTTTAACAATTTTAATTGTGCATTCCACTGTTTATCAAACGTTGTTTTCACCTTCCAATTTTAACCTTTGAAAACCTTCAAAAACACTAGTAGAAACACAATAAACTGGGATCAGGTGAACAAGAATTTAAGCGAAACAGACAAGAAAGAGTTTTTGGGGTGAAAATCCTCGGCAGTGATGGAAAACAGCAGCCTTTCAGTCTCTTTTGTTAATATAATCCATCTCTTATCCCATCTGTAACTGTCTAAAAAAGGATATTTGTGCAGCACCTGCCAGGCTCGACAGACAGTATCAGTGAATAGATGTCCCCTCTGACTGAGCTCTGAGTGGCCGACTGGACCTCTGGCTTTAGATGGAAGGTTCTGGCATGATCATAGGCTTATTTAAGTCCAAGCAGAACAAAAAGACGGATTTACTCTCAGTCACTTTCTGTAATGGGAACCTTGTTTCAACTGTTGTCAAAGCGTGGGAGGAGAGAAAGAGCAGATACAGAAGTGAGTTACAGCCTTCAGCCCAGGGTTTCTTACAATATGTTGTCTAGACATTGTAATCCCCGAGAGAGGGCTAGAAGGCTGCATGCGCCCCGAAACAGGAAGTAAATGAGGGCAAAAGACCAGTGGGCTACACCCATCTCTAACTCATCCTTTCATCAGCTTGTTGTAGATTTTTATTAGATTAAAATTATAAGTATGGCTTGATCAGTTTTCTTGCTTCTTGAAGAAATTATCTTGTGCAAACTTGATTTTAATTCATGGATTGATGCCCCTCTGTTTTCCTTTTGCTTGTGTTTAGGGTACATGTTTTGATCCATTGGTACATTTCATCAGAATACAGATGTTTCCACCTAAACTAAACAATTTCTTAAAATTTTTAATGAGTTGTGCATATTTTTTCTGGGTCCTGCAGTGACAGTTGTGCAAAACTGTCTATTCAATTTTTGTTCATCGCTACATTATTTTTTTTCACATTTTTAAAATGTAATTGTGTAGAAAAAGGGTTGTAAGCTCAATCATCCAGATACATAACAAAAAAGGTTAAGCCTTCTTTTGAGATTCCAACAAGACGTTGGCTTGAAACACAGCAGTGAAGACACTTGTGTGATGTATCTGGTTGGCAGGCCGTAGACTGACGAAGTCCTCTGGATGGAGGACGAAACTTTTCTCACTTAAAGCAACTGGTCCAGATGACACGATTTAAACTTTTGTTGTAACTGTGTAGAGCACACATATCCCTCTGGTGGATCATGTTTGTGTAGTGCAACTGCTTTAAAGGATTTATTTGCACATATTTTTGTGAAAGCAGCTAATGGAGAAGCACTTAGTGATAAATATAATCTTTCAAGAGGACAATTGATATATTGTATCACATCCATGCAGGCTTTTTTTTTTTTTTTTATCAGGAACAAGATTTGTTGTTCTTGATCACATTTATGAAGGAAGGACACCAGTGAATGAGACAAATTAAAGGTTTTGTTTTAATGGACTAGCAAATAGAGATTTTGAATTTGATTTATGGTGACTTTGTTCACTTTTGACCAAAGCATTATATTAATTATCTGTTACTAGAATTAGGGATAGAGGTTAAAATGTTTTTTTTTTCTCATAAAAACTTGCTTCAACTCCAGTTTTTCATACAGAATCAGAATGTGAGGTTGTTTGGACTTCACTTGTGCTTTCAATTCTGAAAAACAGTCCTCAGAAATAATCCTTGTGATGTTTAAACCTAATGGCAATATGCATGCGTGTCAAACTACGTGCACTGATACGTTTTCTCACATTTGTATTCATGTTGTTGTCTACCTCATATTGAGTTATGTATGCTGCAGGTGAGCTGTTTGAGTGTGCATGACTCTGAGTTAGCACAGTAATTTTGACTGCATCCCAGCCAACAATCACTCATGCATTTCTTTTTCATTTCTTGGCTGTTGCTGCATTGTTTGAACTGCAAAACTAAACTCTTGTCAACCGTTGTGTTTACAGTGAAGTTTGATGACTGCGTGGGGAACGATGGCGTGGTTTTCCAGAGTAGTGACCCTGCCTTCAGCGTGCGGACGGATGGATCCATCTTTGCCCAGAAAGAGGTTGCCAGCCTGATTGAACCGGTCCAGTTTAAAGTAGCAGCACGTGGCCAACATGCAAAAGTCTGGGAGACCGTGATTCAACTGGCAGTGATTGACTTGCCATCACCTGGGCGTAATGAGAACGAGGTGAGTTACACACAGAAATATCATGCTTCATATTTCCATTATCATCTCAGAGGTTCATTTTCCCATCATATTTTCTCCAGTGGTCTGGAGATACTAACAGCCCAGAATCAGGTCAAAACTCCTCAGGGTTTCTAGAGGAATAGAGAGAGTGGGAGAGAGAGAAGCACCGATGGCAGACGGTTAAAAGTGATAGAATCACGCAGCCACATGGGGGAGAGAATGTTTCCCTCAGCCTTAAGCTGTTATTGGAAAACATCCTGCGCCTTATGCACCCAGGGGCTCTTGGCTGTTCCGTTTCTATTTAAAAGCTGTCTGGGGTCAGGTGAAGACGGAGCAGCCTGAGCTAAGCTGTCCCCATAACTACAGAACCACATGGCCAGATCGGATAGTCAATACCAACACAGAAGTTAATCAGTTTAGGCAGGGACAACACAAACAATCAGACGCCTTTGTTCACTTACTCACTGCAACTTTAGACATCTCACGAGAGCCAGTGAGTTCTTCACAAGATTAAATCAGACTGAGGAAAACATGTCACTTACAAGATATGATGACTGACAATGATCCACTTAGTTTTGACAGGAAAATGTATACTTATTTCTATAAGATATACTGTCACCTTTTTGTAAAACACACTTTTCTGGTGTGTAGAAGCTTGAAACTGGACTTGAATCTGTGAAACAATGATGATGGTATAGAATAGATTGAGTTTTGTAACTACTGTATTCTTTGCCGTATAAGTCGCATCTGTCCAAAAATGTCTAAATAAGTAAAAAAAAAAAAAACATAAATAAGTTGCTTCGCCGTATAAGTCGCATTTATTAGGCATTACCGATGACGTGTCACATTTGTTACGCATCACCGCTGACCACCAGGAAACGTGGGCCGGTGTTGTGCCAAAAATTGATTGGCTGCCAAATGGCGGCTACAGGAGCGTGCATGGGAGGACTTTAACAAGAATTTAACAAAATTAACACTGATAACAATTATTTGTTTGCCCGACCTTATAGTAAAGGTGTGTCTCAGTCTAACTTTTCCTTAATAAGTGCACTTTAATGGTCAAATCAGCTGCATTTCTCCTGGGCGGAGCCACAAAATTCAGCTGATTTGACATTTGCTCCAGGAGTTCCGGAGCGAGATGAAGGTGGCTTGGTATGGCAAGCCAAGTGTCTCATTAACAGCCACTTTTACTTATTAATGAGACACTTGGCTTGGTATGGCAAGCCAAGTGTCTCATTAACAGACACTTTTACTTATTAATGAGACACTTGGCTTGCCATAAAGCTCGAGGGTCCTCTAGTGGCTGAAAATATTTGTTTATTTTTCATGTCAGAATGAATGACATCATCAGATCTCAGCCAAATATTGGGTTATAAATATGGGGGAAAATGTATATTAGTTGCTTCAGTGTAAAAGTCGTAGGACTTGCAAATTTATGCAAAAAGGTGCGACTTATATGGCGAAAAATACAGTGCACAGAGTCTGAATTTAAATTACACCGACTTGAAGCTAATTATTGTGCCTGTGCTGCCCAGAGTCTGCAGGTTTTAGCTGTTTTTCAACATTTCTTTTTATTTTAAAAGTTTTCACTCTGCTCAGATCTAATGGTCTAATTAAGTTGGGAGCTACCTGATGAAGATAATGAAGTATTAAACATCTAAAGAGGCAATCAGTCTCCCCTTACGGTTTGTTGAATTTTAGAACAATCCAAAAACAGCAGGGTGAACATGGTTGGTACATTTCCCAGGTTATTAAAAACAGCTGAATATTAATGTTTCTCTGTTCACTAACTACTTTGTCATTTTATCTTTATAAAAGAAAAGTGTGTTTACAGCTTGCTTTTAGGACCCATAAACATCCAAAATGTGTCAGTAAAAAGTTAGTAAGTAAGAAAGTCCATCTTGTTTTTGATTAGATGTGAAATTCAAACGGAAATGTTCATTTAAGTTCATGTACCTCAATCTAGTGTGTGCAGATACATCATTTTGTCCCACATATGTCCAAAATATAATAAATGAAGGTGATGACTAAGAACTGATTTTCTGACTTTCTTGAGCAGCTTTTTATTTATTTATGGCATCCCATTTAAAACATTTTAAAAACGAAAGCCCAGCTTTCCTTAAAGAATTGCTACCTTTGATGCCAGCATTTTAAACTGAGGTCATCTGATGTTAAGAAATGCTGGAGTTGTAACCATTTTCTATCATCCATCCATCTATCCATCCATCCATCCATCATCTTTTACCCGCTTCTTCCATTTTGGGTCACGGGGGTCGCTGGTGCCCCTGTCCAGCAATCACTGTGCTAGGAGTGGGGGACACCCTGGACAGGTCTCAGTCCATCACAGGGACATATAGAGACAAACAAGACAAACAACCATTCACTCTCTCACTCACACCTAGAGACAATTTAGAGTTACCAATTAGCCTAACATACACGTTTTTGGTATGTGGGAGGAAATCGGAGTACCTGGAGAAAACCCACGCATGCACGGAGAGAACATGCAACCTCCACCCAGAAAGGCCCCCAGACTGGGATTTGAACCGCACACCCACTCACTGAGAGGCAGCAGCTCTACCAGTTGCGCCACCGTGCTGCTCATAGATGAATATTTTATACTAAATTTAATAAAGTGTCATTAATATCTTTCAGGTGGTACATACATTACTTTGTAAACAGACAAACAAAGTTGACTCCAATAGTTAACGCTGAAGCTGTGAGCAAAGATGTAGCACTTGGTGGATGTTTTGTGAATGACTTTCAACTACAGCCTCACTCGATTTTAATACAATATCTGTAAGACTGAATTCTAACCATTCTTTTCAATGAAATTAAATTAATTTTATTTATATAGCGCCAAGTCTTAATGGAAGTTACCTCAGGGCACTGAACAACATTCACATACATAAAATATTACTTACTGTATTTTTCGGCGTACATGTTGCATCGCCCTATAAGTCACATCAGTCCAAATATGTCTAATAAAGTGGAAAAAAACAAATACGTCGCTTCGCTGTATATCGCATCTATTATGCGTCACCCCTGACGCGTCGCATTTGTTACGCGTCACCACAGACAACCTGGAAATGTGGGCTGGTGTTGTGCCAAAAAGCCATTGGCTGTCAAATGACGGCCACGATAGCATGCACGGGAGGACTTCAACAATAATTTAACAAGATTAACACTTAAAAACAATTATTTGTTTGCTCGAAATTATAGTAAAGGTGTGTCTCAGTTAGGGTTGGGCATCGAGTATGGAGAATCGATTGGAACCGGGACTAACTGTCCGGTTTTCCCGGAATCATTCAAATGATACATTTTCAATTCCTACTTTCGATGCCTAGTCCACTGACCGGAAGTTGAAGCCGCTCGCCTAACATCAATGAAGAAGATGCCGCCCGCCGATACCAACAAAGAAGAACCCACCGGAAGTGTTTGCTTACATGGAGATGGAAGGCGTGGCTTAACTTTAATAAAATGACCAGTCATCTCAGTGCAGCACTTGCAATCATTTTATATCATGCAAAGGAAGGTGCACGACCAACGCTTCTGGGTTCATGTTGTAGAAGTGTGCCTCGTTTACAGATTACAGATACAAACTATTCATTTGAATTAATTTGTAACTATTCATTTGAGGAAATTAGGTCAATTTGTCCTCCAGTAGTTTAAGCCTATAGTAGCATAACAAGCCAACCCTAACTATAGGATTTATCAAAAAGGAAAGTCTTAATCCCAGTTTTAAAACTGGACAATGTGTCAGCCTCAAGGACAGAAACTGGAAGTTGGTTCCACAAGAGAGGAGCCTGATAACTGAAGGATCTTCCTCCCATTCTGCTTTTGGAAACTCTAGGAACTACAAGTAAGCCTGCAGTCTGAGAGGGAAGTGCTCTGTTAGGAAAATATGGAACAATAAGATCTGTAATATGAGATGGTTGTTGAGAGCTTTGTAGGTTAGAATGAAGATTTTGTATTATATTCTGAATTTGACAGGGAGCCAATGGAGAGAAGCCAAAATTGGAAAGATATGGTGATTTTGATTATTTTGATTAAGATTTTATGGTGAGTTGGTTGCCTTGGCCATCTTGAATTGGGTTGACTCCTAAAGTAAATCAGTTGTAAATCAGATTCAACTCGTCTGCTGGATTCCTTAGATAGAGAACTTTACTAATTGGCTTTTATGTATGTGAATGTTCCTGTAAAGTGCCCTGAGACAACTTTGTTGTGATTTGGCGCTATATAAATAAACTGAATTGAATTGAGTTGCACATGTAATGGTTACTTTCTGTGAGTTTGGTTAAAATTCATTCAGAGGTGGTTGACATATTTTTCTATCTGTTAGACACATGGACAGGCACTTAGTCTGTCACCAATAGTGTGAAAAGAGAGGAGAAGCCACAGAGTCAGTCACTGAATCACAGAGATGAATAGAGTCAGACAACAGCCAGCAAAGGATCTCTGATGGTGGGCTATAGTGATAAGTGCACTGTTCAGCTGCTGAAAATACTGTCCTTTACACGTTTGTGATTTAGGCAATTCAAAAGATATACAGTGTGATGGGCTGTGAGCTCGTCAGGGTTAAACTACAGAGCATTAAAGGTCATGTGAGCGATTATTTTACTTGATTTTGCGGTTAGTGAACTGATATAGAGCTCCCGAGGAGCCACAAATAGATAAACGATAAGGGATCTAAACGTGGTCAGTGGTAAGAAATCTGCTACAAGTTGTAACCATCATGTATGCAGCAAGAGAAAGCAGGACGCTGCACCAAAATGGGATGTTTCATTATGAAAATGCCGTTTTGTGGCGTGCTCTGTTGAATAATAACTTCCAGATGTCTGGGTAGCCAGGGGCTGGCTGAAATCAAAGCATGCAGGGTTTTGGGAAGGCAGTGGCATGGAGAGGAAAGAGCTGGGACCACCGCCAGCTGGCTAAGGCTGATGGCACCAGCGCTGTAGGGCCGCATCCATTTCACACTCAGTGACTCCTGTTCACATAGCGTT